TTTATTTTCCCTTTTTGTGATTTGGACGATCATATAGTAGACGAAGCTCCGAATAGCCTTCCTTCGAGATCGACCCGAGTCGGGTAACTCGGTTATCCTTTGCCCATCAATCATATACTAAACAGACCGTTAATTCGTTGATAAATGGCCTAGTGCAGTGCAAACTGGGTTAGACAAGTGGAGTGCATAACTAGAGTGCACATATCGACCTAGGTTAGCTAACTTTACAGTATGAAATGAAGTAAATAAGTAGGAAAAATTAGAAATGTTGTAATAACTCGTTCTCAATTAACTGGAATTCATAAGTGCCTGATTACATCTGGTGCAAAACAAGCCTACATACAAACTAAGGGGCAAAGTTGTCTCATTTTGTCTCCATAACATCTCCACCAGCCTTTTGAGAGGGTCGTGAGGGGCATCAAGTTGACCAGATATGCCGACATGCTTGATCGCACATGGAATAACTCCAATCCACCACGGATGGTTGCCTAGAAGATGTGGGTCTTCGTTCCACCCATTAGGGAAAGACAAACCGACTGACGCCTCTTCCATGTTGAATTTACCCATAAAGGCAAGGGCACTCAATTGTCCCTTAGCTCAATCAAAAGCGAGGGAGAAGTACTGGTAGACGCTGGAGTCAACTTTTTGAGGAATGCCATTGAGCTGAAAAAGCGCTTGAGAAGTATATCACAATATGCCTCTGCAAAGATCAAGCCCGTTATGGAAAGAATGAATGACTTACGACCTTCATCCCGAGTCGTCTGTTCTGGCTCCACCAACTGCGACTGATGCAACTCTTGCTACTCAGCCAGTTTATTCTCCAACTGGCGCTCTAAGGCCTTGATTTCTCTGGTGGCCTTCTCCATCTTTCGGGATAGGGTAGCTCAATCATCGCTCAACTTGTCATTCTTCTAATTTTTGAGCTCGATCTCTTTCTCTTCAAGCTCAAGCTCCTTCTCTTTGTGTTGTTTCCGTGGGGAGGAGGAACGACCATTAGGATTTGTCACCCCCTCGTAAGTAATGAGGATGGCAGTTGAAAGGAACTGAATGACTGACTTTTATTTTTTTGTTATTATTTTGGGTGTTTGTTTTTATAGTATTCTTTCAAGTTCTTCTAAGCTCATTTATAGCCTTTTCAATTAGGTTGATTTTTGCTTGTTTTCATGATATTTTCATATTTTGTATATTTTTTGTCTACGATTTTTTTTTTTGGTTGTATAAAAATGTCATTCGAATATATTTTGCATAGCAAGTCCCAGCATCGCTATCGCATGAGCAACATCTCATGAGTCCCTGTTCCCAAGACTCTGAACCGTGGAGAGGTCCACCACCCACTGCGAAGAAGACCTTTGCGACTCTCCACAACCGCGAACCATGCCCATGGGTTCTTGTCCTCGAGGCTCCACGGTCCTGGAGAGGTCCGCCACTTGCGGAGACCTCCACGGTCGTGGAGGGCGCGATTCCAACAACTCCAGAGCAGCCCTCGAATGCACGGGGATGCATTTTCAACCACATTTTGAACTCATATAAATAGAAACTAAGAGAATATCATGAGGGTGATCTAGGTAGCACATCAAGAACGTCTCAGGACCAATTCCAATGCCCGAGGAACATAAAAAAAACTTCTCTTTTAGCTAGTTTCCCTACCCGGTAAAATATCCTTTCAAAAATGAAAGTAGAATTCACTTGTAAATATAGTTTCTTAGGATTTTCACTATTTTAGTTAGATAAAATCATAAAACCCAAAGGGTGTGGTTGAATATGGATTGAACGAGTTTTTGATTGATTTTTTTTAATCATAGTTAATTTTAAAAAAAAGTGATATAATTAGTTGTTAGTGAGAATGTAAGTTTAAATTAAAATATTATATAAAATAAAATATTTAAAATATTTTAAGTTTAAATTATAATATTATAAGTTGATTTAATGTAAAAGTAGAAGAAAAATGATTGAAAGTTATGGTTAGTTAAAAACTATGTGAGTTGATGAATAATGAATCAAAATTGATGTCAAAGAAGTGCCAAGTCTTTCGCAAAAGTGACAATTCTATCGGTATTTAGAAATGTACAAGGAAGGCATGGCAAACCTTGAACAGGCCATGAACTAGATCCGAATCATTGTCAAGGAGTGCATAATAAGCGATCTCATCTTTTTCATCGGGTCCGGGTCGAGACCAAAGATCTTGAGCGACCAATCCGCCAGAACAACTCAAAAGATATGATTCTACATGTTTTTCGTGTATATCTCACCGGTAAGAATGATTGATTGATATTTAAGTATACTGATAATTTTAAAGATAATAGAATTAAGTTGAAGTTGAGACAGATTTAAATTTTATTTATTTATTTTTTTTTTCTAGTTGAGTTTAATCACACCCAAAACTAATTTCAAATTTTTAAGTTTTTTTACAACTAGTTGCATCTTGACCATTTTCGAAGCATCTTTGAAAAAAATAAAATAAAATAACTATTTTTCATAATAAAAAAATGAAAAAAAAAGAAAACCAGCAAGAATTTTTGCTAGTGTGGGCCTGTGGCGTCGGTTTTCTATTGGTTCTATTTTACGCCCAATTTTCAATTTATCACAGTCTCTCCTTCGAGTCCCTTTCCCTTCTTTCTGTGTGCTACTGCACAAACCCTCTCTCTCTCTCTCTCTCTCTCTCTCTCTCTCTCAAACAAGTATGGCGGACCAGCCCTCGCTGTCTATCCCTATACCCCCATAGTCCGCCGTCGCCCCTCTAACCTTTGCCTAGCTCTTGGGATCTATTTACTCCACACCCCCACCTCTTTCCCGACTGATATGGAGGACTTCCAGAGCAACAGAAGCATCAACAACGGCGCGTGCGACACCGTGTGGGAGTGCGTGATCCCGTACGTGAAGGACGCGCGTGACCGTGGCGCGGTGTCGCTCGTGTGCAAGCGCTGGTACAAGATCGACGCCATCACGCGCAAGCACGTCACCATGGCGCTCTGCTACACCGCCGCCCCGCGGAGCTTGTCGCGGAGGTTCCCTCACCTCGAGTCGCTGAAGATCAAGGGCAAGCCACGCGCCGCCATGTTCAATTTGATCCCGGAGGACTGGGGTGGGTACGTCACGCCGTGGGTGGAGGAAATCGTCACGTCCTTTCGGAGGAGTATGAGGGTGCTTCACTTCCGGAGGATGATTGTCAAGGATTCGGATCTTGAGCAGTTGGCTGCCTCGGCTGGGAACGTTTTGGAAGTGTTGAGGCTGGATAAGTGTTCGGGCTTCTCCACGGACGGTCTTTTGCATGTCGGGCGCTTATGCAGGTAGTTAAACGAGCTAGAAATATGTTGATTTATGTTGGAAGTTCTTTATTGTGAGTATATATTCTGTTCATTTTCATGTTCTTTCTTTTCTTCTCTCTCTTTTTTGTGTAGGGAAATAATTACTTATGAGATATCTCTGTGATAAGTTTTCCCCCCCTTAATTATATCAAAGTATACTTGTTGTTTTAAGTTTTTTGGTGGGTACTTGTTATTTTTTGGTGATGTTTTAATAATTGTTGGATGCAAATGTTTTGGGGTTCTTCAATATATGTTGCACACATGCTGCTAGCAAGTTCGATTTCTTTTTCCATGAACTTAATGAGGCTGCCTCAATTCTTATGTTTTTCTTTCTGATCATGGTGAATCCTTCTTCAGTCTAGGATTTTTGTGTTCTGCTTGTTGTCAGATGAGATTTGTAACCCCTGATTATGTGATTCTATATCTTAATAAAGCGAAATTTATTCGTTAGGTGGGTGTGGGTCTTCAAGAATTGTTATTTTTGAGCTATATTTTGCAGTGAAAGGTTTTCCAGTCATTTTCTGAATTTAATTGTCCATGCTATATTTGGCTTTGGGGACTGGTATAGTTGTGGTTCTAAGAAACCTACCAGCCAACGTCATTGAAAACTATCCAAATGACGGATCAAATATGCGAGGAGAGATCGACTCTCTTTTTGTAGTCAAACTGGCAAGAAACATGTTTCTGAACAGGGCTAGAAACAAACTTCTAATGGACAAATGACCAATTATCCATATTTTATCAATGTTCTTGACTGAAATGTTAGATTGAAGTTTTAAACTCAAGTTGTCACGAAGATTGTAATTCATCCTCCAATGATTTGAAATTAAAGGTTGACGACTGCTACTTGTAGGATCTCAATTGGAATGGATAATATCGATAATCAGGACAGACAGCTTTTTATTTAGCTGACTGTTGACCAGCTCTTTAGATCATTGAATGACAGACTGCCAAGAAATGTTATATGACCCTCTCTCTCACACACATACACACCCACACACAACTACACACATCCAGATGGAGTAATTGTGGAGACCTTTTATGGAGCTGTAATATATATGACACTCTGCATGTGTGATTCCAATTATATTTAGTGTTTTTGGTGAAGTTGTCCAATACCCTTTTTAATTTATTAAACAGTCCTTTAAGGTTTATCTAATAGTATCCAGTTAGAAGAACCTCTACGTAGGATTCCTTCTCAGAAGTTTATCTAATAGTCCTTTATTTTCCTCTTCTCTTCTTGTTTTTTAACATTGAAATCGCATCTTTAGTGCAACTTAACTTCTGTTCTCATAGGAATTTGAGGATCTTATTTTTGGAAGAGAGCTCAATAAAAGAGAATGATGGACAATGGTTGCATGAGCTTGCTTCGAACAACACGGTTCTTGAAAATTTGAACTTCTACATGACTGAGCTCATGGAAGTCAGTTCTAGAGACCTTAAATTGATCGCAAGAAATTGTCCGTCTTTGGCCTCGATGAAAATTAGTGAGTGTGATATTTCACACCTCGTAGATTTTTTCAGAACTGCTACTTCATTGGAGGAGTTTGGTGGGGGCTCCTTTAGTGACCCCCCCGGACAGGTTGGTGAAGGTGTTTTCAATGATTTGGAAAGGTACAGTGGTGTTGTATTCCCACCAAGATTATGCGGCTTGGCTCTCACTTATCTGGGGAACACACATATGCCCATTCTCTATCCTGTTGCTTCAAGGCTTAGAAAGTTGGATCTCCTTTATGCTATGCTGGACACTGAAGGCCTTTGTCTCTTGCTGCAACGATGTCCTAACTTAGAAATACTCGAGGTAAATTTTGAGACTTTTGTTAAAGCTTAATCATTTCAGATTATAGCTTCTCTCTCTCTCTCTTTTCCAGTATGAATTGTTTATGTGAATGTGGCTTTCATATTAACAGACGAGGAATGTCATTGGAGACCGAGGACTGGAAGTACTCGCCGAATTCTGCAAGCGAATGAAGCGTCTCCGGATCGAGCGCGGGGCAGACGAGGAAGACATCGAGGGGGTCGTGTCCCAGACAGGACTTATTGCCTTAGCTCGTGGCTGCCTCGAGCTCGAGTACCTTGCCGTCTATGTGTCCGACATCACCAATGCATCCCTCGAATGCATCGGCGCGCACTCCACAAACCTGCGAGACTTCCGTCTCGTCCTCCTTGACCATGAGGAGCAAATTACCGATCTGCCCCTAGACAATGGGGTCCGGTCCCTCCTAATGGGCTGCAGCATGCTGAGACGGTTTGCCCTCTACCTCCGGCACGGCGGCCTGACCGATGTGGGCCTGGGCTATATCGGCCGGTATAGCCCCAATGTGAGGTGGATGCTGCTCGGGTTTGTGGGGGAGTCAGACGAGGGCCTGCTCGAGTTCTCGAGGGGGTGCCCGAGCCTGCAGAAGCTGGAAGTGAGGGGTTGCTGTTTTAGCGAGCGTGCCTTGGCTGAGGCGTCACTACAGCTGGCGAACCTGAGATATCTGTGGGTTCAGGGGTACCGAGGGTCCGGTGACGGGCGGGACCTGATGAGCATGGTGAGGCCGTACTGGAATATAGAGCTGATACCCGCGAGGCAGGTTTATGGTGATGGCGGGATGATTGTGGCGGAGGACCCAGCGCACATCCTGGCGTATTACTCGCTTGCCGGCCAGAGGATGGATTTTCCGGCAAGCGTGATACCGTTCAACCCGGATAGGCTCTTCAGTGCCTAGATTTGTATGTGTACCCCTCTTTTTTTTTTTTTTTTGAAAGTAATAAATTACTTGCTTTCTTTATGGAAGGCGGCATTTGTATTGATGAATCTCGATTCTTGAGGAATGGATTTCAGAAATTCTTATTGGCGTATTCAAATCTATCCCTATATTAATTCAAAACGTGTTAAACTTAGGTGGCAAATTCTCACGCTTCGGATGCTGACATAGCAAAAATCTGTACTTCGTGATGTTATTTTTATATTATTTTTGCTCTGGAGTTATGTTTGGTATTAGACATAAATAACTTTATACATATATTCATTAACTCAATTAACTTAACACCCATGTTGTACATGGTATTAGTACTAGTTAAATTTTATATCAAAATAACCTTTAGTTGGTTCATTTTTATCTCATATTATCCACCCTAAAAATTTATTTATTTTTTTTTTTTTTTTTTTTGGTACAAAAAAATTTATATTTCTTTAACTCTTCATCCTAATTCAACAAGAAACCCGAGGGTAGGAAGTGCCTTTTGTTCTCTAGCTCAGGAAAATCATAAAAAACAATAAAACCAATCTCAATTAACAATGCTGTTGAAGTTTTGGCGGCCCAAAGATAAGGGTTTTCCAGGTATGGGCTTATAGAGTTTGGTCCATTAGGAGTTATCATAGTATGTGCCAGATTCGAACGGTATCCTACTGCCAAGCAGTTTTTCCAGGATATGGGCTTATAGAGTTTGGACCATTAGGAGTTCTCGTAGTATTTTGTAAAAATTACCCTCTACACAATTTATATTTTATTACATTAATGAAGCATTTTTGTAAATATTTACATTTACAATATAACAAGAAAACTTGTCTTATTTGCAGCTTTACCATCTATTTAATATATCAATAATTAGCTTAATTTATGAGACACTTTATGAATTCTCTCACCATATCTTCACATCAAAGCATATGCACTTATAGGTTTCTTCCTTCGACCCAAAGGCTTCTCTTCTCAGCCACCTCCAACGGCGAAACATCAAAAACCACCATCGCACCGCCGCGCTGCCCAACCCCACGAACATTACGTCACTAACGGGGCAAAATCTTTTCACTCTATCGCCACCACAATGGGCTCGTTCCCAAATCAAGGACCCGTTTTCCTTCACAACAATATCCTCTTCAAATACGCATCCCTCGGCGAGATCGATATTAGGTAGTATTTATTTTAATTGATTCTTATGATTTTTGTGGAAATCTTAGAATTCAACACTTTATGATTTTGGAGTACAAATAGAAGAATCGAATTGGAGCTAAAGCGTGGGCTCGGAAATTTCCTACCTGAGGTGGAAGAAAGAAGGAGCATCAACTTGGAAACAAAATATGAAAACATTATGAAGTTTTTATTTTTGGAATATTTTATTTATTAGATAGTTTGGAAAGATTTTTTATTATTTTTCTACGTTTTTTTTTTCTACTAGGAGTAGAAATAGATTGTTTTATTAAAAAAGATGTTGGTACCATTTATTCATTTTCTTCTCTCCTCCCTCACACACGTCCTCTCTTTTCTATTCCTTTCCTTTTGTCTTTTTCTTTGATTTTTTTGTGAATAATTGGGAGAAGACTCACATGTTTATTCATAGCTAATTATTTTTTTCAGCCCAAGGAATAATTTAGACTTGGTTCTTCACGATTTATGAGATCTAATTGAATTTCTATTATTTACTTTTCTTTTATTTATTTATCTCTTGTGATTATTATCAATTGAGTTTTAATTGATTGATGTAAACTTGCCATTATAGCTATTTAGAGCGTTAGTTCGTACTTATTTGGTTGTTCTAATATTGGTGACAAATAGCGTAATAATTACTAAGAGTTTCCAATGGTAAAGGAGATATATGATATAATTTAAATAAATCTACATGTGCATCTATTGGCAAGAATTGATGGTCCTTCTAAATTACAATGTTATTGATAGATTAATTTCTATTATCATATCTAGGGTTGTCTATGATTAGTGGAAACAATTAGAGATCGCATCCTCATTATCAAACAAGTAAAGAATGATAGGTTATTAGGTCGTACCATTAACAATCCAGTCAAACTGAGAATAAAAGAAATATCTTTGCACCCGTGATCTAATCGTTGAACAATTTCTATACGAGTTTTTAATTGGGTGGATATTTTACCTATTTTGACTCAATCATTTTGTTTTCGTCTCTCTTTAGTTAGATTTTATTTCTTTATTTATTTTCCTAGTTAGATACAGTCGTCCAAAACCCATCATTTTATTTTTTTATTCTTTACGAGTAGTTGCATCAATAATTTGTCTTACCAATTTTTGTGGATATGATCTGCTTACATTACTACAATTGTTTTACATGCAAAAATTTATTATTGTTGGTTTCGACACCCATCAATAATAATAATAATAATAATAATAATAATAATAATAATAATAATAATAATAATAATAATAATAATAATAATAATAATAATAATAATAATATAATTTATTATTATTATTATTATTATAATATTTATTATTATTATTATTATTATTATTATTATTATTATTATTATTATTATTAGAGAATATATATGTTTGTATATTTATTTAATTAGAGAACCATATATACTCTTATATTTTATTAAAGCAAAAAATATTTCAAGTGGACGGATATGATAATTAAGAACAAAAATATATTGCAATTTAGGTTAAGGACACCATTTAATTAAAAGTGAAAATTCCTAGTCGACAATACATATGATTTTATACTCTTGAGAATATTGTTAATTAACCTTCGTTTAAGAATACCTTCCGGAAGGTGTGATTGGATATAAACTTTACAAAAAATAAAATAAAAAATAAAAATAAAAAAAAAACTCAAATTTAATTAGTTTTAACCAAACTCTACTATTCTCAATATTATCAATACAATTAAATAATATAAACAAATCATTCTTACACATCACATCAATTTTAATTCATTATTTATCCGTTCACCTTATTTTAACTAACCATAGCTCATTTTTCTCATACTTTTACATCAAAACAACTTTAACTATCTTATTTTAAATATTATTTCAAGTTAAAATTAAATTTTCACCAACAACTAACCATACTACTTTTTCAAAATTACTATGGTCAACAAAAAAAACCAATCATATTCATATCCAATCACACACTGTGTGTAGGAAAGCCTAATCCTCACACAAAAAAACTAAAAAACCCTCAAAATGGGGACTCTACTCTATGTGGAGAATAACACACTAAATATACTAAACACACACCTACCTAGCTAAGAAGAAGAGAGTATTACCTACCCTAACCCACACGAGCAACCTACAACAGACAAACAACCAGCACAAATCAAAGCTCGCAATAAAACAACCTGATCGCGAGCACTTGGAGGAGGACCGACCAAGCCGCACAAGAACCTCAGCAGTCGCACCTGAAAAAGAAACAACAAAATAAAGGCCAAACGACCGACGACATCTGAACGAAAACAAAGCAGGAGACGACGTATTGACGAATCAACGACTCCTAACCTGGCTGGAGAGAGGGCAACGCAGTGAAACCCGCCATTGGCACTCTTCTACACAAGGACAACTAGTTGAGAGACGGGAAGAACGTCACCTATGACGACCAAAGTCGGACCAGAGGGCGGCGAACTGGGGGCTGCATGCAGTTGGGTGGCGAGAGAAGGGGGAGTCACGGTGATTGAAATTTGTCGCTTGCCCTCTCTTGCACAAGGACAACAGATTGAGAGGCGGGTAGAGCTTCGCCTACCACGACCATAGTCGAACCGGAGGGCAACAGACTAGGGGTTGCAGTTGCCAACGAGAGAAAGGGAGGTCACAACGACTGGAATTGAGGCTTTCATTTTTTTGATAGACGAGCTTTTCAAAAGATAAGAGATTTTTTTTTTCTTTTTTTT